CAAACAAATCGAAAATAATGCTTAATTCGTTTTACACTGAAAAAAAGCAAGAATCTTGTTTTGTTGTTTGTTTACCAAGAAATTGTTCACCGTTTTTTGTTTCCACATCAACATATCGCAAGCAAAAATGTTAAAACTTACACTGCACATATGACACAACATTGTTTGCTATTTTCAAAGAGAAAAAAAATAATTAAATAGAATACAACACTGTGCTACTTGCTTTAATACATAGCCTCTCATTATTCCGTCGCATAATACACAAGAAATACTAATAACAATTAACTATGTTTGTGCATCGCAAATAAGAAAAATTTATTTGTAAACTTGATTTTACATCTCGAACTTACATATTGCTTGATCATATATGGTTTTCATTATTCACCTGTTAATCGCTATTATTATGAGCATTTCATTTTCAAAAAATCAAAACTCCATTGAACATGTTCATATTGATGATGGAGCTTGACATAATAACTCCGATGAAACAAATACAAATAACAGATTCTTCAAATATCTCACATCAAATCACACCGAAGAATAAGGAAGGCATAGACGGTTAAAAATGGCAGTATTTTGAATATCGAAGTGGTTGTTGGTGCCCTTTCCATATCCACACTCAAAAAATATCGTTACGGCAACAATTGAGGGTGTGGATGTAGATGTAGGTGCGCCTATCATTTCCATTCACACCCACACCCCAACCCGGTTTAACGACCAAAACCGATTTACCGGAAAAAGTTGATCTGACCAGTCTACCGGCCAAAACTAGCCTACCGGTACTAAACAAGATGCTGATGATATGTCAGTTTATAAGAGAAAATCCGACCTACCGACAAAATATCGATCTACAGACAACAGGCTGAGGCTTGAAATGAAATCTTGTTTCATAGTGAATTCTCTTGCGGGCTACCCTCGTATTTTCATGCACACTGGTATAATGTTTCACCGTTGATAACAATAGTCTCACTGATGGGCATTCTGAAAACTGTTTTTCAAATAAATTCCTGTGTGATCAGTGAAACTAGTCTTGGTGCCAGTTGTTTTTCATATGAATACCATCATAGAGCAGGAAAGTGAAAAATATAGATCGGTATAAGGCGATTTCGACCGGTCAGACCGATTTAGATCGGTCGATCCAAAATCCAGACCGGTACCGGTTCCATCTCTGCCACCCACACCCATACCCAAAAAAATTTCTTATAGAATTCAAAAAACTCTGGTTCATTCATTTATTTATCACTTTTTTCTTGCCAAAGAAAGTCTTCTTGTTTTTCTACCCTTTCCAAACAAATTTCACTTCAAATCAAATCAAATTTTTATTTTTCTTGTCTCACGAAAAACTTAAGATTTTTTCTTACTTCATAAAACGAAAACAGATATATTTCTCCTACTCTTTCTAAAATTCATCTAAAATAAAGATAGTCCATATTTTCTTGCTCTAAATCAATAAAAATTATTTTATAAAAACAAATTTATTTTCTCTTACTCAATAAATTGCTCATTTCTTGTTACTAAAATTATTTACCTAATATTTTTATCTCTCATACAATTTAATTTAATTTTTGTCTCTTTACAATTAATTCTCTCAAGCAAAATCAAGCATAACTTTCATTCTTAAAAATTATTTGTAAAATGGGTACTTATTTTTCATTCTTTTCTCAACTCATACAAAACTAGAATATTTCATTTACATTTTTTCGGATATATATAAAAACACTAAAAAATATTTTCAAAATTTCAAACATACAAAAAAAACTAAAATAAACTAAGAAAGAATAACAAAAAAACAAAGTTCACTAATTTATTCATATTTATATATTTATTTATTGGTTTATTTATTTATTACTTGTTCGGTCTTTGCTCTATTTCTTTACGCCATTGTTAATTCGCTTTTCAAATTTAAAATCACACCTACACTCACACCCACACCCTAGTGCAAATGGAATGATGATTATAGTTCGAGACCTACTAGATTAAATTTTGAACAAATTAACAATGCTATGTTTTTACATTCAGTAAAACAAAACGAGTAATTAGATTTGTTTTTATACTTAAATGTTTGTTTTCTATTTGGAAATTGTGATTATGTATCTGAAATATGCTCTTTTATTTGATGAAATAAAATAGAGATTATGAACATCTACTAAAAAGTTTATAAAGAAATGGTATCTGAAAACAGATTTGGCATGAGGCGAGGCCGGATGGCACAGTGATGGTGTGACTTTTTTGCTGCCCCGTCCATCTCAGATGTGTATGTTACAGCTGAGTTTGAAATCGAGCTGAGATTGGAATCAGTTTATTTAATTTATTTGTTTATAGATTTCGTTAGAATATGAATAAGACAACTTGTTTGGCTTTTATAGGACTCGCATTCTTAATTATTTACTAGCTAATAGTAAAATGCAAAAACATTGTTCTTTAGATGATACAGAGTTATAATTGACTATATTTATTATTTTCTTATAAAAGCATACGCTGATGATTATTTTCATATGATTGAAATGTGAATGTCTAATTATCGCTGATGTAGAATCGATTCTAAGTAGTTTATTGTTGATTTTGTATTTCTTAAATATTTGAATTTTTTTGAGCTCGGAGACATGGGGACATTGAATGATTGGTTAAATTTTTAGTGTTACTAAATTCGTTGTTAAAATTTGAATTGAATGACTGGTAATACCTCGAATAGTAGTTGATTTGTTTTTCGATTGATTGAGTAATAATGGGAATATATGCGGATTGTTGATTACCTATTTAATACGCTTCTTGTCAGGAAGTTTATCAATGTAAGATTGTATTTCAGAATTGAAAATATTCATTTCTTTTACAGCAGATTTACACAAAAATAAATAAATAATTTGTGTAATTAAAAACAAGGAGACATAGAATGTCTTTCTTGATTTGATGTTTCATAGAAACGAACATCAATCAATTAATTATGAAGAGATGAATAAAATTCATAAAGTTCTAATATTTACTAAATGATAATTGTTAAAAATGAAAATTATCTATATGCGAGTATTTTAAAATAATGTAAAATAAACCATAAAAACTCGATCAATAGTTTAAAACTGCTATAATACAAAAGTGAAGCCCAATAGTAAACAAACATTAATTATCGCATGACTCATACCATCAGCATACATTCAAAAATCATATTATATATTAATATACGTTCTTTCGTTCTGTGGAGCGAACATACTAACGAACGAACGAACGAAAATTTGGTCGTTGTTGCTGCTTCGCACATTCCCTTTCTTCCAATAGAGAGAATAAAGAAAGAAAAAAAACTGTACGTGAAAAAAAAGATGATATTTGATTGAAAGATTAGTTCCCTAGTCCACTATCCCCAACGAAATCCCCCGGGGAGTCCCCACGAAAACTCATCGGGGAATCACGATACGGATTCACCAGGGATTTGTAAGGGAGTTAGGGGAGTCCCCAGTAAGTTGCAAGGGAGTTTGGGGGAAGTCACCAGGGATTGTCAAGGGAGTGGCTTTGCAATAAAAAATGCAGTACATCAAACTTATCTGTGATATTATCACTGAGAGGCTTACCTGCCTATCTATTTACCTGCCTATCTATTTATCTGCCTATCTATCCATCTACCTACCTACCTTCCTCAGTACCTATCTATCTCTTGCTACCTAACTACACTGGAAAAAATAGGTTTATTACGAAACTTATGCGAGCGCTCAGATCGTCTAAGGTTTTGTATCGATATACGAAACCCTAAAAAGTTCAGTAAATCGTTTTCTGATCCTTTTTAGGTTCGGTCAATCGATGCGAAACCTGAAAGAATCTGATCCCGGGCATAGGTTTTGTAAGAGCCCATTTTTCTACAGTGTACCTACCTATCCATATATCTATCTATCTACCTATCTACCTATCTAGCTAGCTATTTACTTCCGTACCTACCTGCTCGTCGACTACTTATCTATCTATCTATCTATCGACATATCTATCTGCCTACCTATCTATCCAGCTACTTGTCTTCCTACTTGTTATCCATCATATGATACTGTTGGAAGGAAAATTTCAGTGATAATATCACGAAAATATGTCATGGACTCAATTTTTCTGTACTTTGTGGAGAAAATTGTGCAGAAAATAACTCTTTTGGAATTCTCCGATAGAGGAACTCTCTGGGAAGTTTTTATCTTTTGGGGTTCCCCAGGGAGAATAAAGGTGATTCCCTGGGGATTCACCAGGGAGTTCGTAATTTTTAAAGGACTCACGGGTGACTTTGCAGGTGAGAGTCGACTAGGGTTGCAGAAGTGCATGCTGACACTTGTTTAAAAGAAAGCCTACATCACTGACAATGAATACGCATGTAGTATTGATACGAATACAACCACTTATGACAGACCCAATAGCGAACGAAAACACCTCTATTATCAATGAAAATGATGAGAAACGATACTATGCCAATGCTGTTCGTCGTCTGGTTCGAAAGCTTGATCGAAGACTGCTCCCTTTCTTGGTTCTCCTGGAAATCAGCTCATACATCAATAGAGTGAGCATCGGTATGTGTTTTTGACTTGAATCATTTGTCATTGGTGATATTCCTATAGGTCACACTAAACTGATGGGCATTCAAACTGATCTGCATATGACAGACTCGGAGAGTAGTTGGGCTGTTTCAATCTTTGACGTTGCCTATGTAAGAAAATGACATTATTGAATTTCCAAGTGTTTCAATTTATATTTTATTCTAGTTTCTTCTCGTTATTCCTAGCAATATTCTCATGCGCTTCATAGGTCCGACTTGTTATCTGGCATTGAGTATGCTTGCATGGGGTAGCATCACTATCGGTATGGCTTTTGTGACTAATGTTCAACAACTGATCATTGTCCGCTTTTTTCTGGTAAGCTAATCGGATTTCAACTGATAATAAAACATTTCATATTTGTCATTGAAGGGCGTGGCTGAAGCGGGCTATTTTTCGAGTATTGTCATTTATTTCTCTCTTTGGTATTGTAAAAAAGAGCAAACTATGAGAATAGCTATATTGGGTGCATCCGCTTCGGCTTCCGGTGCTGTCGATGGTATTTTGGTGCGTACTCATCGATCTGATTATAGATCATCTATTTTAACGTTGTAGAATCTACTATTGTCATTATTCTAGACTTATGGTATCTCGTACATGCAAGGCATCGGTGGTCTGAAAAGCTGGCAATGGACATTTTTACTTGAAGGTTCTCCGATAATTCCACTTGGCGTTCTTGTCTATCTTCTTCTTGACAAAGTACCAAATGCTGTTCAGTGTAAGAATTTAAAGAAGAATAGAAAATATTGAAGATGCTTTTCGAAAATTAAGGGTTGAATAATATAGAGAAACAACTATTGACAAATCTTCTTCGAGATGATGCCGGTGTAGCTGACAGTGAATCTATCCCAGGAACTCGACTTTCATGGAGACAAGTGCGCTATGTTTTTATTGATTGGCAAATCTATCTGTACAGTATTATTGCTGGTGGCAATTTTGCCGCTATCAAATATCTGATAACGTTCCTTCCAACTCTGACCAAAGCTGTTGGTTACACCAAAACTGAAGCACACTTAATGACAGCACTACCTTATGCTGTTGCATGTGTTTGTGCGCTTCTGGTTGGCTATTCGTCGTCACATCGAAACGAACATGGCTATCATCTCGTATTCTGTTTATTAGTTGCACTACTAGGATTCATCCTAATGTTTACTCTGTCCAATCAAGGCAAAGTGGCCATCTGTATCAGCAGTACTGTTAGTTGTTGTGGTGCATTCTCTGCACTATCTCTACCACTCTCTTGGTTGACAAATAACGTCGGTGGTCATACAAAGAGACCAATGGCAATAAGTTTCGTGATGGGTATCGGTCAAATCGGTGGCATTGTCATGCCTCTAGTAAGATTACTGCTTGTGAAAGCTTATAGACTAACCTATGAAGTGCATTTTCAACATGTCAATGTCTTTAAACAGTCTTTATAGTGATTTTTTTTCTTCATAGATTTATAGAGAAGTTGATAAGCCGATGTATCAACGCGGGCACTTAATTTGTGGTGGATTGATAGCTGTTAGTATGGTTGCTACCATTATTTTACGCATTTATTTAATGAAAGAAAATAACCGGCGAACAAATTTATCATCTGAGGAATATACACGTGAAGCTACTATCAAAGAACCTTGCGATCGCGTAGGTTCATATTTGATTTCTTATTTTACAACGTGTGTATTCTAATTATCTTTAGCATCCCGACGTACGCTACTCGTTGTGACATGAAAGCGTTTGTATCTACCAAAATGAACATGAAAATTAAATATTTTCTAAATTTATTCATTATCAATTTGTCTTATAGTTTTTTGAGCAATAAATTACTGTCAAACACTAGAAAAATTAAAAATTTCTTCAGAGGAAGTGACATATCACACGTGCTTGAATATTTACACCTATAATACGACAATATACAACGTTGTATCAATACCCCTGTTTCTATTTTATGTCAAGTTAATAACAGAAAAGAAAAAAACTTTGACATCAAATGTAAAGGTAGTCACGAAAAATAAACGCTGTTATTCGATCATGACACCTGTTCTAGACATGTGGTGCACATTATTGGATGACGCGTAATACATGGTCAGTATTTGGTTTCGATATTTCTAGCTTCTTTATAAGGTTTATACAATGCAAAGTAGACCACAGAGTAGAACGAAAGATGTGTTACGCTTGGCATCAAAAAAAGATATTCAAAATGTCAGTCTTTTGTTTCTAATCTAAGCTAAACCTTACTATGTAATTTTTCTACGCTGAAAATAAAGCTAGCTTTTGATACATGAGTGATCAGTTATTTTTGTCAGTTAAGTTGCAACAATTCTTCACTTCATTCTATTGCATACTGTCACCAACATTGTATCATATGTACACATAAGAATGTCTAGTGCTGAGATTGCAAGTATTAGGTAGTCATTACTAATCATCAATGAAATTTGAAACTCTTCTTCCAAATAAAAGTTAACTGCTCATGTATTAAAAAATAGCCTTACTCACAGCGTGAAAAAATGACTTAATAAAGTTTTGGCTATTTTGAGAACACAAGACCGGTACTTTGAATATTTTTTTTGATGGGCAGTGTAAAGTGTCTTCTGCTCTACTCCACGTGGTATATTTTACTTTGTATTGAATAAATTTTATAAAATATAGACAGCAAATATCGGCCATGTATGATGTGTCACTTGATATTTGTATGAGTCGAGAATGGTGAAATTTTTTATCACAGTAGTTTCTTCGTATTTGTCGTCATTATGAGAAAGAGAACGATTTTACTTCTTCAATTCAATGACGAATATGCACAAATGAATTTATCGTGTGATGCAGAAATAATAAGTCACATATTATTTCAGATGTTCTTCATACACTCTTGACCTTTATCTCAATCATGCGCCGTAAAAACCATAACAAAAACAATTGATTCCAGCATAGAACGACTGTTTACTTAATTTTCATTGATAAATCGTTGGACATCGTGAAATAGCATATTATTTACTAATAACAGACCGGATCAAGCAACTTTTGACACAAGATTGCTATATATATCCTTTGGAAGCATTGGAAGGAGCTACCACATAATTTTAGTTCGACCAACCGTTCATGCCAAATTAAGTAATTATACGGTGAAAGTTTCAACTCAATCAAATGACATATAGAGATGGTACACTAGAAAAACTAGCACCTTTTGTGAATGCAAATCGTTGTTTATGTTAGATTGAGCTTTACACGAACTGCTAGATTATGTCTGAGAAACCAGTTATAGGGTTTTGCAGAGCAGAGATTGCTTTACAAAACCTGTTATGCTGTTGATCATTGGAATACATCTGTTTTGAGGTCTAAGGAGCAACTCTTTTCGCATTTTCTTATGAATACCAATCAATAAAAACATGTGAAGACATGTCAAAATTTTTCAACATAGCCCATTTTGTAGAGTCTTTTGTTCTGATCAATTTGGTGTAACATTTTTTCTTGTGGTTTTTTCAAATCGTGACTTAAGATTTTCTTTTCTTGCTTTGGACATCAGATCGTACGAACTTTCCAGTCTTTTGCGATCATGTACACTCAGATAATTTCTCTCTACCTGTTTATTATGTGTCTGTTCCTGTTTTCCTAATTATTTTTATTGTCTATAATCGGATTTGTTTAGCTCATCTAAAACATTCTTTTTCTAAATATTGCACCATTAGAGTGCTACTTCGATACTAGAACCTTTCGTTCAAAGGTTTTATTAATCTTTATACATCCTTCAAAAGCGTACAGAATTATTTGTTTGCTTTAATAGTTCAGCCATCTTTAGGCTTGTATTTAATCCATAAAATAGAGCTAGAGAAAGAGAATATGCGCTGGATTGTTAACTTGACTAATTGATGTTACTCCAAAACGATGTTGTCATTCTATTCTGTTTCTTTTCTCCTGTTCGTTTCCTTTCGTTCTGTCATTTCTTGACATGTGCGACGCAACCTGTGGATTGCAGATTCTTTTACTCGAACAGTAGGACGATACATGCGACGGACAGTGAATTCTCGTAGATTTAAACATGTGTCAATAGTCAATTCAGTTGATGACCTGTACAAAGAAGTGATCTTTCACTTTCGATAATACACTCGTTTTTCTCACCTTACTAAGCAATATTGTTTTAGCAGAAAGAGACATTTTAGATAAATTATTTCTTGAAATTCTCTATTTTCAGAAAGTGCCAGCACGAATCCAGTATGTATAATTGATCATCATCGTTAATAGTTAAAGTAACTATCTAATATCGAAAGGATTGATATAAAAGTTTGACAATTGATCTCCTGTCTTTTATCTGTTTACGACACATGGCGTCATCTGTAAGATTGCTTTCAGTACGTCGGATTCCGGAAACATCAACTGAAAACGAACTCATTTGGGTATGTAAGACAAATGACGAGTGGACACCTCTACCGGATGCTATATCAGTAGTCATCGAAAAAGCCTTTCGACGTGACTTGGAAGAGATAACTATTGATGCAATGTATCGAATTGATTTTAAGTACTTCTCAATAGAATATGTTGACGATCGAAACCGTAAACAACCAATTCGACGACAACAACGTTATCTGAAATTATCAGTTTCTCGTGACGAAACGATCGAAGATGAAGCTCGACGTTATGAACGATTCTCGTGTTCTTTAGTGTTAGTTTCAAGCTGTAGTGCGAGTGTGGATACAAATTATTATGGCTCACCATTTATTGCTGCATGGTACTTGACATTCACTGAGGGAAAACGGGATGTTACATTTGATTCTATTTTTCCTGTTCTTCTACAAGGTTTGCGCGAGGAAGGACAATTCGAACCAAAACATGTAGTACGAGATATCGTGGATACTTTGAACGAGACCAGAAAGAAAAGTCTTAAGATGAAAGAGAAGAAGAAAATAGAAGTGCTGGAAAATTATTGTGCTAAACTTTATACCAAAGCATGTTTTATCTTTCGTACAGTCAACCTCGCATTGCGTGATGATGATCGTAGTAAACTTCACACTCTTGGACCGTACTGCTTTCTCGTTTACAACTACATCGGTCGACATATCAACGATGATTTTTCGATTCGTCATCGTTTCCAACAAACTCTTCGTCGGACCGGATCTGGATCAATGACTGTGTATCGCGGCGATTATATGTCTCGCGAAATTTTAGAAGAATATAGACAGGCAGTGAGAGACCATTCCAAATATTTCAAATGGCTCTCATTTGTTTCCACTTCACTCAACCGGGATATTTCCGAAAATTTTGCACGAAATGGTTTGTACATTATTGAACTCCAGCTGTACTTATTGAAAGATCAATTTACAGACTTGTCGAAAATCAGCTATTGTAAGGAGGAAGAGATTCTATTACGACCAGGAGCACGATTTCAAGTAGTCAGAGTGGAATTTGATGATATCAAAAATCTACACTTAGTGTATATTAGCATTATTCCATCTTATGTATCCAGTTTGAGATAATTTTTTGGTTTCATTTGTACAAAAGATCAAAATACAAATGCAATCTCAAATGGCTGAACTGGGTGTGTGATGTGGGTGTGGGGTGTGGATGTGGGTACGGGTGTGAGAGGGTATGGCTAGATGTGGGTTTTCAATTGAAATATTACGACGCCCACATCCACATTCACACCCACACTCGAACCGGATAAAAAGTTAAAGCCGGCCGGTTAGGACCAGATTTTTGCCAGTTCGTCATTAAAAAATTGTTGCTTGTATCCAAGAATTTCCTCTACTGAAAAAGGTGTTTTTATGATATTTTCACGTCAGAAGAATGTGTTTGCGAAAGACTCGATGAATATTGTGTCATCCACCTAACTGTAAACAGTTCATTGTTCTTTTTATATCTTTATCGATTCCTTTCTGGTGTACCGCTTAATTTAACCTAGATTATATAATTTGTTTGTTTTATTCTCCTTAGACAACTGCCTGAATCACGAAAAATAAATATTTACACTTATGCTAGATTTATTGTAAACTGGCTCTTTTTTCTTGAAATTAAGATGAAAAAAAAAACAGATTTGATATGAGTAGCTAACTTATATAGATATCGGGCTCGAAAAGTTCACGCACCTTGCTATAAAATATGATAGTGACAGTTTCATTCCAAAGTTTTAGTTTCCAGTTCTGATTATGGGTGGCGAACACCTGTTAATTTATTTTAAATTTAAATTTTTGCGAAGTTAAATTTGAAATAAATAAAAATTTTTTAGAGGTGAAAATTTAAATTTATTTTAAATGTAAATTTTGTAAATTGAAGTTTATTTTAAATTTATTTAAGCATCTTAAATTTACTCAAATCCAGTTTAAATCAAACTAAATTCAATGTACACCCATTTAACTGGATTTAAATCCAACAGAATGATTTTAAATTGAATTTTATTTGGTTTACATTCAAGTTATATTGGTGTAAACTAGATTTAAATAAATTTGAAAAATTTAAATGTATATAAATTTAATTTAAATTGAAAATCAATTTAATTTTTTAAATTTATTTTTCGATTTATTTAAATTTTGGTAAATGTAAGCTAATTATTCCTAATTAGGATTTCTGCACATGAATATTCAATTCTCCTTCATCACCACTATATATGAATAGATGCTTTCATGGTCGGTTATTTTCGCCGGATTTTTGTCAGTTTGGCTGTAAAATTCATCCGGCCGGTTGCTGGCCGGACCGGATCGGAC